TATTTATTTGAGACAGAATGAGAGACAGAGAGCATGAGAGGGAGGAGGGTCAGAGGGAGAAGCAGACTCCCTGCCGAGCAGGGAGCCCGATGCGGGATTCGATCCCGGGACTCCAGGATCATGACCTGAGCCGAAGGCAGTCGCTTAACCAACTGAGCCACCAAGGCGCCCATCTCATCACATTCTTAATAAAGCATGCTATTTGACCTATTGGAGTTTGATTATTTTTTTAAGATTCATTGTTATTTTTCTTAAATGCAAACTAGAGATCCTTTGTTCAGTGTTTTTATGCAAAGAAAAAGAATTCTGCCAAAATATTAATTAAGCTTAATAAAAAGATCAAGTATTTATATTTCAGACTGTGAAGCATTCTTTACATACATGGATAAAAAGTTTTATTTTTTAATTTTTATTTATTTTAGAGAGAGTGCACTCAGTGGGGGGAGGGGTAGAGAGAGAGGGAGAGAGATTCTTCAAGCAGACTCCCCACTGATCATGGAGCCCTATGTAGGGCTTGATTCCAGGACCCCGAGATCATGACCTGAGCCAAAATGAAGAGTCAGCCACTTAACGGACTGAGGCACCCAGGTACCCCTGGATAAAAAGCTTTATAATTGTAACTAAACTTTTACAGAAGCAGAACAATGGGCAAATGGAATTTATCTTACAAAGTGAATTGCAATTTTCTGACCATAAAATATTCTGTGAGTACTTTTTGTTGAGATTAATTTCTGGTTTTTGGTGAACATGTCTTGATTTCAAGGATCTAATATTAAAGTTAATATGAGTGAAAAAAAGTTAATATGAGTGAAATGATTGCGAAGAAATCAAAACATTTTAAAAATGATTTTTAGGGGCGCCTGGGTGGCTCAGTCTGTTAAGCGGCTGCCTTCGGCTCAGGTCATGATCCCAGGGTTCTGGGATCGAGCCCCACATCCGGCTCCCTGCTCAGCGGAGAGCCTGCTTCTCCCTCTCCCTCTGCCTGCCACTCTGCCTACTTGTGCTCTCTATCTCTCTGTCAAATAAATAAATAAAATCTTTAAAAAAAATGATTTTTAATAACATTTGGCTTTTGAAAAATTATAGACTTGAAATAGAGAAAGGAGCTACTTGTAATTCACACATTTAGAAACAGAAGTTTGAAGAGCTTAAGTGTTTTATCCAATGTCCTTCCTGGAGCTGAGACTAAAAGATCCTAGATCTTGACTCCTCCTATATTCTCTTTTGTTTTGTGCTATACTTTTGCCCCACAGAGTAGTAGTTGTAAACTATTCTTTTTTTGTCAGTGGTAATTGGCATCTTGCCCTCTCCTATTAGAACCAGAGTCATTTTCAGTACTTTCCCTTTAAAAAAATTTTTTTTAAGAAAGTATAGTTGGCATACAATGTTACGTTAGTTTCAGGTGTACAACATAGTGTTTTGACAACCCTATATAGGTTATGCTATGCTCACGATAAATGGAGCTACCATCTGTCACCATACAAGGCTATTCCAGTACCACTGACTGTATTCCCTGTGCTGTACCTTTCAACCCAGTAAGTCACTCATTCTATAATTAGGAACCTATACCTCCCACTCCCCTTCATCCATTTTGCCTATTCCCCTATCCCCTACCCAACCCCCCCCAAGGGGTCATCAGTTTGTTCTCTGTATTTATGGGTCTGTTTCTGCTTTTGTTTGTTCATTAGTTTTGTTTTTTAGATTTCACTTATAAGTGAAATCATATGATATTTGTCTTTTTCTGACTTACTTCACTTAACATAATATTTTCTAGATCCATCCATGTTGTCGCAACTGGCAAAATCTCATTCTTTTTTATGTCTGAGTAATATTCTGGTGTGTGTGTGTGTATCACATCTTCATCCATTTATTTATGGATGGACACTTGGGTTGCTTCCATATTTTGGCTATTAATAAATAATGTTGCAATAAACCTGAAGTGCATATATCTTTTCAAATTAGTGTTTTTGTTCTCTTTGGGAAAATAGTGGAAGTATTTTTCCCTTTTGAAATGTCTGGCACATCTACCTTTTCTCCATTTCCATTCTCACTATTCCAGTTGAGTCCTCATTCTTATGCTGGGATTACTTTAATTACTTCCCAACCACGCTCCCTTTTCCAGCTGGTGCTAATAAACTGCCATCAAACAGATATTTTAGGAAATACTACCTTTTTTCCACATATTTTCCCCTGTTCTGATTCTGTTATGGTTTTCTATTGGTCACTACCATCAGTACATGTTTATCCTGCATTTTCTATGTACATGGTATTGTAAAGCATTCGGAGAATGTGAAGATGTGTAGGACACAATACCAGTCTCAATTTGTTGTAAGGAGGTGGGGTTTAAATAAATCTATGATTCCTACTTTGGTAATTTATCATTCAGTTCAGGAGACTACATAAACACTGAGAAATTTAGTAGAAAAATAGTAATAATACACTTTTTCTTATTTTTGTACAGGTTCCTGTTGCATGTAAATCGTGTCCTTGTGGTTATATATTTATTAGCAGAAAACTTTTAAATGCAAAACACCCAGAGAAATCACCACCTTCTACAGGTAATTGTGAGAGTTTACCACATACTTAGCTTTTTGATTTAGAAGTGTAAAATTAATTTTTGTGAATATATTATTTACATCTTGAAGTTAAAAATTAAAACCTATTGAAGTATGCCTTTGGTTTTTATTAGCTGTTGGAAATCAGCTTATGACATTAGTTTGCTCTTCATTCCATTTAAATGTTAACTCCCTTATAATGCTGATAAATCTTGTAGCAAATTTTCTATTTTTTATTATCGAAGGATGGAGAGCCATTGAAGGGTTTTAAGCAAGGGAGTGATCTGATCTGATTTCTAAAAATAAAAAAGTAATTTAATTGAGGTATAACTGACATTCAATAAATTGCACATATTTAAAGTGTACAGTTTGATACGTTTTATCCTATGATTACACTAGTCACCACAATCAAGATAATGAATAATGTTCATCATTCCCAAAAGTTTTCTAGTTCCCCTTTGTTACTCTGTCCTTGCTAACCAGATAACCACTGATGTGCTTTCTGTCATTGCTTCTAGAACTTTATATATAAATAGAATAAAATATATATAAATAGAATCATACAGTATATACTCTTTTTTTTGCCTGGCTTCTTTCATTGAGCATAATTTAAGATTCAGCCATATCATTGTGTATATCAGTAAGAATTAATTCCTTTTTACTGCTTAGTAGTGCTCTTTATATGGATAAACCACAATTTATTTACCCATTCACTGGTTGATGGACATTTGGTTTTATCCTCCTCAGTGCTAGTAAAATTTATAATGACTTAAAATATTTTTTTGGACTAGTGACTGGAAAAATATAACTTGATTTTGAGGTGAATATAATTTTTAGACATACTGGTTATTTTTTATAATTCTCTGATTTAGAATATCTAAAAAATAATTTTTTTGGAATTTTACTTGCCCATTAATGTAGACAAATTGGATTTATTCAGTGGATTGAATTTTGAAATTCAAAAAGATGAAATTTTGTTGTTTATCCTTAGATAAAATCAGAATAGTGATGATCTCCAAATAAGTAGATTGATTACAAATAAATTTTGAGTGCCTGCTGTATGCTAGGCACTGTTCTAAGCCTTGGGCATAATGAATGAATCTACTGTTAAGGCAGTTCACTGCTGTTATGGAGCTTACATTCTTGTGGGCATGAGATAGACAATGAACAAATAAACAGCTTGTGATAAATGCATTGTAGGAAATTAAAAGAGATTGCCGTCCTAGCATGTGTCTGGAAGGCTACTTTTGATTGGGTGATTGGAGAAGGCCTCTCTGAGAAGGACATTTAAAGTGAGGCTGAATTGAAACAAGGGGCTAGCCATGATAAGATCAAGGAGAAGAACATTCTTGACAGATGAAATAGCAAATGCAAAAATTTTAGGGCTGGAAAAAGTTTGGTATATTTTAGGAACAAAAAGGCCTATGTGGTTGCAGTGTAGACAGTAAGAGCAGGGGAGTGTGGGAGATGAGGCCACAGGGATAGAGGCCAGATTGTGTAGGGCTTTGTAAACCAGAATAAGAAGTTTTGGATTTTCTTCTTAAAATATGAGGACAAACTATTCCTAGGATGTAGGATGGAGTGAGGAAAAGGTAGCATGCTCTGATTTGTCTTTTAGAAATTCCATTTTGGCTGCTGTCTAGAGAATAGTTTGTTGGGAATACAAGATAGAAGCGGGCTATTGCAGTATGTTAACTGAGTGAGAATGCTGAGTTAGTGCTTAGGTTATAGTAGCAAGTGATTCAGGAATTATTTATATTTATGTCTGTGAGAGGTCTCTTTATCTTAGGTCTATATAGAAGTGGCAAGAAAGTTATTTAATTCCATTTCTGCCTTTGTTTGAGTTTGTTCCCTTTCATCATGAGAATAAAGACTTTGCTGGATAACTATATAGGAATCAGCTTGTTAAAAATGGGTTTCTGGGTCTTATTCCCTAAGCATTTGATTCAGGTATGAGAACCCGGGAATGATCATTCAGTAGGTATCTGGGGTGGCGTGTCAACTCAGTTCCGGGTCTCCAAAATAAGTAAGACATGGTCGTGCCCTTAGCAGGACAAGTGTGTTTATTTTTTTTATTCAACAAATATTTTCAACCACTTCTCTATACCAGTGGTTCAGGTGAGAAATGAGGTAAAGAAGATACCCAACAAGGACAGAGAGAAGGGACAGATGCTGCAAGTATTAAGGAGTCAGAATCACTTGAACCAGAGGGAAGAATTTTACAATTACTGTCAATGACTTGGATTACTGGTTAGAAAGGGAATATAAAAAGGAAGACAAGTTTTGAGGGAAAGATGAAGAATTAAGTTTTGGGTGTGGTTATGAAATATCATCCATGTGGATTTTTTTTCCCAGTTGGACATATAGTCTGAAGCTTACGCTATAGCCTCAACTGGTGGTAAATTTTTTGAGCCATCAGTGAATAGATGGTAGTTGATCTCATAGAAATGGATGAGCTTGTGCCCAGAGGGTTGGTAGGGTAGGAAGAGGAAGTTCAGTGACTGAACTGTGGCAAACTCCAGTCTTAAAGGGTGCAGGTTATTAGGGAGGGAGTTTAGGTCAACTGAGAAGATGTACATGTACATGTCAGCTATAGGAGAACAACCAATGGAGAATGGTGTTACGTAAGTCATAGTGATGAGTAAGAAGCAGTTCATTATTATTTTACATTTGGAATTTCCTAAGGTCTGTTGTTTATTGAGAGTGGTCTTGTGACCTTGAAGTAAAGATGAGACATAAAGCCTAGAAATTCCCTGGAGGAGGAAGAGGAACCAGCAAAAGAAATAGAAAAGTTTAAAAGGATGGAGGAACATCAGGAGTAGACTGTGCCATAGAAACTAAAGGAGGAAAAGGTTTTAAGGAGAAAGGGTTAAGAGTATTCAAAGCCTAGAGAACAATTTGGTATAGTCAGACATGGGGGTTGGAAACCTTGGCTTCAGATTCAGTTAGAGAGTTTGTCACTCTCTAACAAGTTAATTAACCTCTGTGAGCAGCTGCTATTGAATATAAGATAGGCTTATAGTATAAACCTTAGAGGATTGAAGTGCAGATGAAGTGCACGTGAATGTGGCTAATGTAAACAGAGTTTAGTATGTTATAGGTACTCAAATATTCATTTCTACAATTAAATTTCTTAAAAGTAAAGATTTGCCTTGGATAGTTCGTAGTATGTGGGAGATTGAGTACATAATTTTTAAAATCTCTATAGCTTATCAAGTACTTGAACATTGTCAGTGGGATCCAGAACATTTCAGTTTTAATTAGAGAATTTATACACAGAAAATGAAAATGGATAATATATATCTGGAAAGATAATGAACTTCGTTAATAATCAGGGAAATGCAGTTTAGTTAAAATACCATTCTTTTTACCCACATTCTGATAAAAATGTAAAGGATTTCCAACAGCTTTTATGAGTATGGCAGAATCCAAAGTCTCATACTAGTGGTGAGGTTGTAAATCAGCACAGCTTTTTTGCAGAACAGTCTGACAGTAGTTGTTAAAGTTTTAAATGCACATAACCTAGAATCTAGACTTTTTATCAGTAGGTATGTATCCTAAAGATACAAATGTTTTTAATACACAGTGAAATATTTATTAGGATTTATAAGCAACACTGTTTATAATAGCAGAAAATTAAGCCAAATATCATCAGTAGGGAAATGGTTAAGTAGGGTACATCTTTTAGGGAACAACAGTATGTGCTAATTAGAGAGAATGATGCAGATTTTTATATACTGACATGGAAAAATCTGTAAAACAAAGTTAATTTAAGGAAAAGTATAAAACAATACTTGCATGAATTCATTTTTGTTTTACAAAATTTTTTTCTTGTAATGAGAATTTTTAAAATTTACTCTTAGCAACTTTCAAATATGCAATACAGTATTATTAACTATAGTCACCAGGCTGTATGTTACACGATCATGACATATTAATATTATAATTAGAAGTTTGTACTTTTGGACCCCTTTCACCTCCTCCTCCCCCTCTAACTCTCACCTCTGGCAACCACCAATCAGTTCTCTGTTATTTATGAGTTCTGGTTTGTTTTTTAAGATTCCACATACAAATGAGATCATATGGTATTTAATCTTTCTCTGTCTGACATATCACTTAGCATAATGCCCTAAAGGTCCATTCATGTTGTCAGAAATGGCAAGATTTCAGTTTTATGGCTGAATAAAACTCCACATTACCTTTATCCATTCATCCATCAGTGGACATTTAAGTTGTTTCCATATCTTGGCTATTGTAAATAATGCTGCAGTGAACATGGGGTGCATATATCTTTTCGAGCTTGTGTTTTCATTTTCTTTGGATAAATGCCCAGAATTAGAATTGCTGTATCATGTGGTCATTCTGTTCCATTTGCTTTTAAGACCCCACAAAATTATTTCTACATGTAATGCATAGATGGATAGATCACTAAATAATGAGGAAGGAATCAAGGAAGACTTCTATTTATGTAATTAAACATTTAAAACAAGAAAGAGCCATCTGTAAAGTTCAGATTGAACTTATTTTAAAAGTGAAATCAAAGCTATAAAAGATAATTTTAAATTTCAGTGGGTTGAAATTTAGTAACTTTGTGACATGTGACATGTAGGAGGAAAATAATCTGTCAAGTCAGATTTATCTAAGCTTGAATTGCTCAAAACTCACATTTTTCAAATATATTATCTGTGTATCTTCATAACACAGTAGAAATGGGGAGGTAGGACACTAGACTTGTATAGAATTTTGTCTAGCTGAAAATACATTTAAATAAACAAAATTTATTATGGAAATCAAAGGATTTTTTTTTTTAAGATTTTTTTTATTTATTTATTTGAGACAGAGAGAATGAGAGAGACAGAGAGCACACGAGAGGGGGGAGGGTAAGAGGGAGAAGCAGGCTCCCTGCCGAGCAGGGAGCCCGATGCGGGACTCGATCCCGGGACTCCAGGATCATGACCTGAGCCGAAGGCAGTCGCTTAACCAACTGAGCCACCCAGGCGCCC